AAACAAAAACTCAATAGGGAAATTGAGCTAATTTAAATTTGTCATGTAATAAATTTTTATCATTTGATTAATATATTGTTTTTTTTGTGACAGGCCTAATGATGGCTGATAAATACCAAAATGCAAAGATAAGCCAAATCACTAACAAAAATCTTTTCTGATTGGTGTGACCACTGACTTAACAGATAAGGCACCAGGATTAAAGAAACCTGGCTGTTTGCCTGGTCTTGAGCCTTCTAGCTACACAGAATAGATCACCATGGTAACTAATGTTTGTGAAACCGAGTCGAGGCTTAATTAAGCCAGGATATCTAGAAAACCTGCTTTAATGTGTCCAGAGTTGCATAAAATTTGTTTTTAAAAAAATTTAGTTTTTTTTGTTCTTTAACTTTTTAACTTTATTAAATGCAATTTAAGTTTATATATTTTTTTGTACTTACACTTTGTGTATTATTTTGCCTGTTCCTTTCATTATCTTATAATCTCTTGAGATTTTCAGTTCTAAAAGGGTAACTAACTACACGATTAAAGAGCTGGAGATGGTTGTTAAATGTTGGCCCATAAACTTGGTCATAAACTTTAATGATACTGTACTGATAATATGGAGGCAGTCATCTTTGGAGTAGGAGGCGGTTTAAGTTCAAAACTTATTTAATTTGTGCCAAAACCATTGCTTTATTTCTGCCTCTGCTTTCAAGGCATGTTTTAAGCATGAAACGTCTTCCGCTTCAGCTTCAAACTGAAGTTGCTTTTGAAAATAGAATTTTAGCAGAAGCTTTTCAGAGAAAACTGCTCTTTGAAAGCTTGATGTAATAGGGAAGTTATGAAAACCTGCTTGTATAACATAAATTCTTATGCCCATGAAATAAAAAAAACTGAATTGCATGCTTTGTGCACAATCAGGTTTCCTTGCAGTGTCATGTTAAGACATGCAGGAATGCAGTGGCGGGGGAACCACGTGGTGTGACATGGCTAGAGGATCCACCGCCGGTCAACCCTCGTTTCCTTCCAAATGCTGACGGTGTGGGATTTGAGACTACCTCACCATGCACATAATCTCTTACTGCTCTCCCACACAGTAGCTACTTCAGCGACTGTACAAACACTTTTATTGATATTGCTTCTCAAGATCGGTTCTTTATTTCTGTTTATTTGTATTGCTTCACTTTATAGGGCCTTACAGGCCAAACTTATGTCCAGATACCCAGAACTATATCAAATAAATCCACTATATTCTAATAATATAGGCTCCGGGTTCAATGACATGGATCCAGTTTCACTTCTTAGAATGCAGTGCTGTTATTTACTATTTTGATATAATTAATTATGGATTATACCTTTATCATATGCCTTTTTTGTAAATTTACCTTTGCTGCACAGTGTTATTTGTATTTTATGTTTGTATTTGCTTCAGTTTGCCTTTAAAATAGAAATATCCAATAATGTGCCTCAGTGGGGAAGTTTATGTGCACCAACAGAAAAGTTGGATTTATTGCATATACCGGTACTCTTTACAGCTATAGCAAAAACACTACAGATTTATATTTTGGATGAACTTGACTTCAGTAGAGCTTTAGAGTTCTGCCAAGTTTGATATTTTCTTTAACTGCAATTTTGAAGAATCATTTTCTAAAGATTGCTTCTGAATTTAAAGCTTTGAATTTTCACTCAACCCTTGTTAATGCCTGTTTTTCTTTTTAATAAGAGTTAAAATATTTTAATCTTAATCAAATCATGAAAGTAGTTCCGTTGAAGGTTATTTTATGTGCTGCCTTTTGTTTGAATTGCTTTATTCATACTGAGGTGGGTCATTCAGTATAAAACTAATGTACATTAGCCTGAAGAATTTTTAGTAGATTTTGAGAAATGTGCTAAAAAAAAAAAGGGTTTAAGAGTTGGGTTTATTGATTTTTATATTACAGGAGTTTAAGAGCTTGGGTTTTTTATTTTGTGTCACTTGAGCTTCAGTTGGGTTTTCTACAACATGTCCTTTCATACAGACTTGTCCCCATGATGCTAGTCTCTTTTGTTCTGGCCGGGAACAATAGGTCATTTGTCGGTGTTTGCACTTGACATAATCATGCTCTGATTGTGATACCACCAGACTTCATGCTGTCATGAGCAGAAGTAGAAAGGTGGCTGCAGTAGTTTGGTGCTTTAACCTTCAGCAGTGATGTGTGAAGGAAAGTACTTGTTGTCTTCACACTCTTGTTTGCTTTTTCTGCTGCTGGTTAAACTAGTTTGTTGTGTTTTTGACTCCCCAGGCCTTGCTTTTACACATTGTATGTTATGGATAATCCTTTCACCTCAACCACAATCCTATATTCATCCCTTCAAGATCTCATTCATTCATCACTAAACCAAATTATACTCATGTTTCCATGAGACCTGAATAAAAATAAAATGTGCTTTTGCATTTTTCGCTAAATCAATTTACCTTTTAAATGTTTTTTTTTTTTTTTTTTTTTGCCATTTTTTTATTTTGTGCATTTATTGTTTTATTAATTTATGAATCAATACCGGAGTTAATCATTTCAGTTATGACATGTATTAACTGAGAGCTATGTTAATGATTGCGAACATCTAAAGCACTAATTAAAATTGCAAAAACATGCAGATTGATTTGCTTTAATCCAAAGCCAAGTCGATGTTTATAAGACAATAATAAGTCAAATTATTTTTTTTCCCCTCAGTTTAACTTTTTTCTTACTGTGTGTAAGAAACTGACTCGGAACAAGAGGAACTGTTAATGGTTTATGTCTGACTAGGTCTGTGTGGCCAAATTAGCTTCCATGCCCTTTTGCACAGTCCATGCATGGCTGATTTTCTGCACCAAACACCTACAAAAATATGCAACAACACAGTGCACTACCCATGGAAAAACATAGCGAATAAGTGTAAGCTCCTACTTGAGAGGGTTTTCAAACGTACACATCAGTAGGCATTTTATGATTTGGCCCATAAATATCACCACAATCAACAGAATGTGAAACATCCTTGGAAAGAAATTGTCAGCCTTGGACGACATGGAGAGAATTTTAAAAGGGTTGGAAAAGCCTGTGTTTTCTACTTCCACATTGTGTGGTCTTATAAGCTTGCAGTTTGTGCCCTATACGCCCCCCCCTGGAGTTGGCCAGAATATTAGGTACAGGGGTTGTTAAAAATGTTAAGCTGTCTCTCTCTTCCCCATGTTATAAACTCAATGTTTTCAATCAGTCAAGCCTTTCTTGTCGGTGTAAAAAGAAGGAACTGTCCTTCAGCCAGCTGATGCAGTGTGCAGCCAGTGGTAGCAGGGACCTGGAAAAAAAGGAATCATTACAGCATTTGAGTTAAGTTTTGATGCAGTGGAAACTCAAAGTGAAGTGAAACTTGATACAAATTAGTCTAAAATTCAGTTTACTTGTTAGAGGAGTCCAGGGTGGAAGAAACCAAATGCAAATACCGCTTTGTTCTGAGTTTTATAGAGAATATGGAGAATTACTCATGCAAAAGTTTCGAAGAAAATTACTGAATAAGTTTGAGACAATATTCTGAAAGCCCCATACCTCTTTATTTAAAAAAAGAAAAACACATGCTTTGTTTTACTGCTGTGTGACAGGAAGACGTTCGCCTAAGTTTGCAGTAAACCCCTGGTACCCATGTCAATAGAGGTTTGATCACATTTATGGCATAAATGAACCACCTTGTTGTTTGTTTCTATCTGGTTGCAGCATTAGAGCAGTTTATTAAAGATGAACAAGCTAAAAAAGAAGGCTGTGTGATGATTATTACAGAACAACCTCTTTGTCAAACTCTCATGTTCCAGAACTGCACAAAGCTGTTTAGCATTAGATGTAAAAAGGACAGTTTTGTTGTTGTTCATTGCTTTTTAATGTTGTCAGAAGTTTATTTATTTTAAAATGTAATGCTTTACACAAAGAAATATAGCTCACTCAGGCTCAGGCAAAAAAAAATCAGCGACTGAACTGTTTTCTTGAGGTTTATCACGTAGCATCAGGTGACCTTTGACCCCTTGGTTTTGCTGCAGGAAGGCTTCACTGCTGGAGCTTTGCTTACCTGCACAGCTGCCATGGTAACTCTTACTCTGCCATGAGGCGTCTACATCGTGATCCATCCTCACCTGCTGGAGTAGACAAACCTTTATCATAACATCCCACCAGCAGGGCTGAGTGGCTAAAAAACAGATCTTTTGTCACGCATGTGATTCAAGTCACACCACAGCATGGAAACTAGTATAATCAATCAATCCCCATGGCTTTTGTTTCCTGTTTTAATGCAGGACTGGTCATATGATGCTCGGCATTGTTTATAGCACTCGAGCTCCCTCTAGTGTTTGAGTGGTTTCATTTTTCTCATTTCTTTTGTAAAAAGTACTACAGGACAAAACTTCCATCCACAACATGAGATCCCAGAGGTGATAAAGGCAATAAAATGAGTAACAATGAGAGGAGGAGGGGGGGGGTTATACCCAACACATTTAATGCTGTGATGAAAACATGATTAAAATAAATCAGAGATAACACTTTGCTTCAAAATCCTGAGAAGAAAAAAAAAAACTTGTCATTCAATCATTCCTAGACTAGTGTGATTGTACTAACGGTCTGCCTCTTTATCATAGGATTGTGTAATGTAATATTTATCTTTAGAAGCTGGTATTCTACAGATTGCTATGATGCATTCATTATCAGTGGTCATACTTCTAGAGAACTATGTGACAGTCAAATTTGACCTTCATTAGGGTAAAAAGAGGGGTTTTAATCAAATCAGTTTAATTTAATGCTAGAAATGGTGTTTGTTTATCATGGTAAAAACTTGCAGGAAATCCCATATTTGTTCTGCTACTGTAATGCTGCTGCTGTTTGAAATTCTTTTATTAAATCTCACAGGATTATCATTAAAAATCACTTAATTTCTGAAATGGTTCCTTATTGAAACACTGCTTCCTTTGACTGCATACAGAACCTGTCCAAAATAATCAGTTTATTTTTTATTTTTTGCAGCCTGAGGCCTGTGCTTCCTCTCCGCTTCTCCAGCGCCGGCAGGAGGAGGATGACGATGGCGACCTGAACAAAGCTTTGGGCGTTCAGCGCTTTCAAAACATTCTTCGCCCTGCTGCATCTGTACCCGACGAACTGCTTCACTCCTACCATGAGGAGGACATTGAATGTATGAACAGAGCATTTACCTTTTAGCTTTTTTTCTGCATCCACTGATAACGTTGTTTGTTTGATACTGTGCCATAAGTAATTACTGGCATCCCTAATGCAGGAAAAAAAAATAACTTAATGTAGTAGTTATACTAAATTTATATCTTTAACCTTAAGTTTGGGAACATTTATTCAAGATTTTAAATTCAATGTTGAAGTTAAAGGGTACCCCTAACTTTACCCTAAAAATATAACTGAAGGCATCAAATTTATTTTCTTTTTCCATGCATTAAAGACACAAAAGTCTCAGGGAATATGGATGTACAAGAAATTGAGAGAGAGGATGTGAATATTTGTGGGTTATTCCTCCTCCAGTTAATAAATGTAAAATTATTAGCAATTTTCTCATTTTTCAGCATAAGATGATGCACCACACAAGGAGATGTCATTAGGTGTGGTCAGAGCTGTCTTTAAAAAAAAAAAAAAAAGTTTTCCTGAATTTCTCCCACTTTCTTGTTTTTGTAGATCACCGTCACTACTCCCGTCACATTCACCGGCCTCTGTCCAAGCTCCCGACTGAGGGGAAAAAGAAAAAGGGCAGCGGTAGAAGGAAGAAGAGCAAAGATCATAAAAGCAGCCGTCCCCCCTCTAGTGGTCCTATTGAGGAGGGGGAGGATGAAGAGGAGGAGGAGAGCATAGAGGCTTCTTCTGCTCTGTCAGAGTCTGAGAAACCCAAAGATGTTGAGGTACTGTCCTTTAAGTGAAAACAACTATAGAGGTGCACAATTTTTAAATCCGTTATTGAGATTTATTGTTTTTATTTTTACACTGCTTTCTACCCCCATGTGGCAAATTAGTCTGATCACCTGAGAAAAAGCCTATCAATACCCCACTTTAAAGTCACTATTCATGTTTTATTACCACTGATTGTTGATTTTAAAAGACAAAAGTATTTATGTTTTTGCTTTTTATGATATTTTATGTAGTTTTATAAAAAAAAAAACAAGCTAATCTGATATGTACAGAAGGCTTGCAGGATGACATTTCTGTATCAGGTATAAGTCTGTCCTTTTTTAGCAGTTGAACATAAAGTAGCGTAGATGTATGTTATTTCTTTTGCAGAAGTTCTGCAGAAAGAGTTAATTTTTCACAAAACAAGATTTGATTATAAGCCTTTCCAAGCTGTCATGTTGTTTTCTGCCTTGTCCGTGAGATCTAATAGACTATTACAAAGCAGGACTTGCAGGATTCATCAAAAAAAGGTTTTGTTTTGTTATAGAGTTTTGCAGATTGACCTCTAAAATGACGCATACCTACTCTTTCCCAAAATAATAAGGAATATGTGAAACTATTTGATTTAATTTGAAAACAGCAGACAGTGACCCAATCGTTTTATCAGAGAGGAATTAAACTACATAAATGATTAAGGAATAAAATATGAAAAGTTAATAGGGGCTGTGTCCCCTACTGAGATTTTACCCATTGGAGAAAAAACTAAACAAACATCTAAGCATAAAAAACTACTTGGCAATGAAGCATTTCTGATAATGTTAAAAAAGCAGATTTTTTTTCTGGCGTCTTTAAATGTAGGATGTGTGATTGGGAGCTGTCCACCACCTCCTGGGCTTCCCCTTTGTTCTGGATCAATGTCCAGCAGTAGAAAAAGTCTGCAGATGTTTGTTAACAATACTTCAGCCTGTTGTTTATTTTCTGTTTTGTCAACTGACGTTTCACTTTCTTTGCTTCGTTTAGTTTTTCTTGTCAGATGATGATCAGGTGTCCAGAGGAGGAAACTCAACCCGAGAGCTGAACGTCCTTCCTCAGTCCCCTGCAAGAGCAGAAGCTGAAGACGTTTCCACCATTGAGTGAGTGCAGTTTCATTGCCTGACTGAGAGACAAACTATTTATAATCCAATATTACCTTCTGGGATTCATTGAAACCTTCTAGCAGAGATATTTCAGGTTAACGCACGCTTTAGACTCTGAGGTGCTCTCTGTTCGTTACCATGACTCAGGCATCCAGTGTGCCTGCTGGGGATCATCTGATGGACCACAGTAATCCTGTTTTCATGAACCCATATATCACCATCTCTATAGAGACTCTGCTCACCCACACGGTTTCAGGCTCCTCCTTTTGCAGTGACTTTTCCACTTTGAGGTTTTATTCTGAGCCTGGATTACGCAGCATAAAGCTTTAGTCTAGTTGGCTAGAGAACAACCCCATTTTAGATTGATTAGTTTATTTAGTTTGGATGTAAGAGAGAAGTAGCCACTGTGTAAGAGCTCAAAGTAACTTCAAGTAGGTAAGTTAGTGTTTTCTGCTTAGTACTTGTGTATTTGTAAAATAAAGCTATAATTTTTAAGTGTCATTCAGAAATGTAAGAAAACTGTCTAAAGAGTGCAATTGATTTTTCTTCTCTCCATTTTATTGCAGTAAACCCAACTCAGCCAGCTCTCCAAGCCTCACGTCCCACTCTGCTTCACCTGAAAACCCACCTGTGGGTCGGGTCTCCTCCACCAGCCGTAGCTACGACCTGCAAGAGCGACGCCGAACAGGCAACATGACGGGTGCAGAGCAGGCCAAGTACCAGCGCATCCCCACGGATGAGACTGAAGCCCTGACGCTGGCCTCTGCTGATCTGGATGGGATCAAAAGTGAGTGATAAATAGATTTCTGCGATTACTATTAAATTCTTTTTTTCTTTTTTTATATCATCTGTTTGTAAGTAGTAGATGGTAATATATTATGTTTGCATTGGGAAAAAAATGTATCTTGCATAAGTTCAATCTCTTGTTTGGTTGTTTAGCCATTTGTTAACTGTATTACACAATAATATAATGAACTGGTTTTCATTTTCTCCATGAATATAAAAACATCTGATATTTCTAATAAAGAAAAAAAGTTAATTCATTTCATTTTATAACTGTTTAGGTTTATGTCAAAGTGTTTTGTGTTTCCCTTGTATTTTTAACAGCAAATTTGAAGTCTTATTTTTTATTGTTTTAATTGGTTAAATGCTCTACTTATTTTTACTATTACTGTGTTTAGACTTTATCGATACATTTTAAAAATGGTTAAAAAAAATGTATTTAAGAAACTTAAAGCAGCCGAGCTTTAACCTTGTACATACAGTTTTCAGGCTCGGGTCACGGTTCATAATAGCAGTAGCCTCATCAATCAGTCTATCAGTCTCCCTCGCCCATTTTCCCTTCTCCCCCCAAGATGCTTAAACTCCTTCACTTGTGGCTGGAGCTCTCCTCTAACCTGAAGGGAACAAGCCATCTTTTTCCTGTCCAGAACCATGGCCTTGGACTTAGAGGAGCTGATTCCCACCTGCACTCTAATACTCGGCTGCAAACTGCCCTATTTCATGCTGTAGGGCTTGGCAGGATAGAACCAGCAGAACCACATCATCTTCTTACTGCATGGGACTTATTATACTGGTTACCAAACCAGAACCCTTCCGGCCCTCGGCTACCCCTAGAAATCCTTTCCATAAAGGTTATGAAGTGGAGCGGTGACAGAGGGCAGCCTTGCCACAGTCCAACATGCACTGGAAACTAATGCTGGCAATGATGACCATACTCCTGCTCTGCTTGTTCAGAGACCGGATGGTCCCTAGTAAAGGGCCCTTGACTCCACACTGCTGGAGCACCCCCCATAAGGAATTAAAGAGATATATGATCGAATGCCTTCTCTAGGTCCACAGAACACATGTAGAGCTGTCGGTCAACGGCTCTACTTGATGTTGACTAGAGATATGTCGGCCATGACAGAATGGAAACATCCAGAGACCTAAGGTACTCAGGGTGGATCTCACCCTCCCCTAAAGCCTTACCACTTCAGCCTGGGTGAAGAAAGAATTCAGCCAAGAGCATCCCACAAGGTATGTCAGCCGGGATGAGAAGATCGTCAAAGTATTCCTTCCTCCATCTGACAACACTGATTTTAGTGCAATGGGGAGTTACTGATCAGGATATCGTCAAAGCACTACTTCCCCCTCTAGAGACCATGGGAAGTTTGCCAGAATCATTTGAGGTTCACTGATGCAGTCATCCTCAGTGTCTAAAAATGGAAGTTCCAGGTCTAGTATTCCTAGTGGATAAATTACAATCTTGCTTTAAGGCTCCTGGTTTTTGTGGCTTTTAATGAACCAGGGGGACATTGAAGACTTGAAATGTGAAGGGCGAGAGTCACAGTGATAGAAGCTTAAGAGTTTTACCTATGATACTCAAGAAAAAAAGTTGTTGAAGAGCAGTATTTGTATTGTTACGCAACCTATTAGTGCTTTGGGAAAAACAAAATATTGGTATAGTAGGAATACAATTCTTCAAATAAGGGATTTTTTGGGGCAAAATATATGCCTAACAATTAAGCTGCATGTATTTTTCATAATAAAAAGATAAGAATCCAGAAGCTGAGCTGCTAAAAGAAGGTTTTTAGCCAGTATCTTCTGAATTAAAATGAAAATGTTACTGAGAAATAACTGAAAGCAGGAAAAACCTGGACCTCAGCAAGTTTGGAGAGCCAAAAGGGCAACAAATATATTACATTATAAAGAGTCTTGGAGTCATCTCTACTTGAGATGTATGTCGAATGAATCCATCTTAATTGAAAACATGGATGGAGCATGAAGGGATGGAATACACTATCAATTCTGTCTTGACGAGTTAAATATGTTTTCTTTGTAAGTTAGATATTTTTTCTTTAGAAGTACTGAATCTTCTGGCTTGGGGCATATCTCAGATGGTCTTCATCACGACTGTCAGCTTCCCTGCACCTTCGTTCTTCTATCAGTTTTGCTAATCCTCAGATTGCTTCAGAAATGTAGCTAAAGTCTTCTTCTGATCCTTGCTTGGTTGCTATGTGGGCCCCAACGTCTTGTAAGGTTGCCTGCTCCTAGCTCAGCGTGGGCCCGTGTTAAGGGTGGAGGTGATTTGCGTCAAAAAGCCAACCTCTCAGCAGAGAACACCGACAAATTAGAAAGTTTGGCAGACAGAGCTTCATTATTAAATTAAGCGTTCCTGCTGTCAGGTGAGGCCCCTAGGATTTGATCCTTATCCAACATGGGGGCTAATGGCGAAAACTGAACCTTAGTTTCTGACCTCAGATCATTACAGAGCTAAACGAGGCAGAGGGAGTTAAGTTGACATGACTGGTTTGATAATTAGTTCTTCTTGAGTTTTTTTTTTTTGGGGGGGGGGGCGAGCTGAGTGTGCAACCTGGTTCATTAGAACTTCTCAATCATGTTTTCTTTTATCTGCTTCCCGTCCCATAAAATCATCCTGGGAAAGTGACCGTCTATCTGGCTGCTGCTCAACTACAGGAATTATTTCAGCACCATCCTTCAGCTTCTGCTCAACTCCAGCAAATTATCACCATTTCCCACTGATGCATTTTGATGTCTGGAAATGCCGTCTTTTTTTCCCTAGCCGCAGCACATTGTGGTCATGTAGCCTGCTTATGGGCCTCCTCTTCCTTTAAAGTCCCACCAGGACTCCCCCATCACCCCCACTCCCTTTGTTTTTTTTTTTTCCTACTTTGATGCAACCTGCAGACATCATGGAGCGACTTTTAGATAAAACCTGAAGGCTGTGGAGGCGGGTCTGTTGCAAACAAGGCAGCAGATGAAAGAGTTTGTTTTGTCCTTTTGAGGACTGTCGGATACTTATGACCCAACAGATTGATGTCGAACATTAAAAGCTTCTCTGCTTGTTACATTATTCAAAGTTCGCATGCTGGTAAGTCTTTCATTTTAGATTTTCCTTAACTGGTTTCATTTGTGTGGCTGCAAGGGGTAATTTCATTTGCAACCATGTTTTCTTTCATCGATTGCTACAACTGGAACACATCAGCAGTAATTATGTGTCAGCAGATTCACTGATCTTTGAACTCCTGACAGAACAGTTTCTGCTCGTTTTTGTTTTGTCTGAGATACCCAGTGCCGCTATTCTTTCTCTGCGTTCTTTTTTTAATACCTGGTGTGCTGCCAGCACGAGTAACTGTAGTCCGTGCTCTGGGACAATAGAAACAAAACGGCCAGAAGGCCTCTGATCTGGTGGCCTGAGATTTGATCTAAACTTTTAAGGTTGGTGCAAGGCTGCTGAAAAGATGTGCAATAAATGTATTATTTCAGTTTCTAGAAGAAAATTTTGTTTAAAGAAATGTTTTGTTTTCTGACACTAATTGGCCTTCTTTGTTCCTCAGGTCATCGATTTGAGGATGTTCCCGGCGTGCGCAGACACCTCGTCAGAAAGAGCACGAAGGGGCAGGTGGTGCACATTGGTAAAGACCATAAGGAGCCAACGACTCGCAGCAAAAAGCAAGACCGCACCCCACATGAGGTGAGTTTGTACTGGTTCTGGGTCCCGCTGCATTTAAATTAAGAAGCCTGTCCTCATTTAGAGCCTTGTTGCTACCAAACAAAATATCCATTGGTAGTGATCCATATTGGGAATTCTAATAGTTTCTGAAGTCTGATTAATAACTACCGGAAGGTTTCTAAAAGCGAAGCAGCTGATTTTTTCAAAGTCCCCAAAATCTTTCAGTAATTAAAATGATTTTTATTTCTTCTTTAATCTGACAATAACCAAAATGTCCCCCTTTTTAAAATTACCTCATTAGTTTTTGAGTATTGTTATTTTACGCACAATATAATCTGTTTTTCTTGCTTGTTTAATCAATGTACTGCATGAGAAATAGTTTTTAAAAGTACTTTAAGCAGGAATGAAGCTTCAGAGAAGTATGGGAAGAAAGTCAATATTTGATTCCTCAGATGACAGAAATCTGAAAATTAAGCTTTTATCTTAGTTTGATGTAATAATTGTGTTTGTAGTCATTTGTTTTCTTGCTTCCTTTCTCGAATGCAGATATAAACTGTGGCAACGGTTTTCCTATCTCTCCGTCTCTGGTTTAGTTCTGCTCTGGCTCTTTTGTGGAAGAGACAGGGAGAGAAAGAGGTGATTAAAAAAGAATGAATGAGTTCTTTCCTTTCACGCACCAAAAAGAGATGGAGGAGAGAGAGAGAGGCTCATAGGTAACCAGACACTGGAAGGGAAAAGCTGAGGGATCTATGTTTTATTAACACGGACACGCATTCTCATGCAGCAGGCCAGGTTCACATCTTGCTGCTGTCATGCGTGTGTGTGATGAGAATTAGCCGTGAGGATGTCTTTAAAAGCGAAGGTCCAGATCACGCTGAGTTAGGTCAACTCACCGCTTTGAGACGTTTCGCTCCTGCAGCCTCTACCGGTGGTTCTATACCGTTCTGCCTCACGGCCTGACGGCATCCTGCTGAACATGGACTCCAGTCAAATGGCTCGGTACCAGAAGGTGAGGCTGGGTGACCGGCCATTGTCGGCTTTGACCTGTGTGAGCGTGCTTTGACAGGCATGCAGTGGCTGCAGAGGACTGATTAAAGAGCTCTCCTACTTTTCTGGTGGGGATTTACAAGCTGGACTTGTACTGACCAGCATGTTCATTTAACCTGCTAACGAGCGCCAAAGGCGGATGGAAGACTGCTGATGGACTACAACAAGCTTTGAAGGATCTGTTAGGGGGTTGGAGCTTTTGTTTGAAATATTGCCTCTTAATGATAAAACCCTTATTGATTGTTAGTTCACATAACCTTGAGCACTTAAAGTAACATTTGTGTTTCAGAGCATAACTTGAATTACTAGATCATGATTTCCAGTGGTTGAAACTCAGGTTTAGAAATAAGTTTTAAAATGTGAGTAATTTGATTAATTTCCTGCTTCTTACTTTTAAGCATCCTTAAAGCCTTTGAACCTCCATTTTAAATGGACCGTTTTTTACCTTTACTGAGTGTTTGGCACATGTTTGGGTTTGTTTGGTCATTAGAGCATGACTACTGTTCCAGGTAGAATTTTACAAGCAGGAATCCTGGACATTTTCATTAACCATTGACCTTTAGTTATCTGAACTGTTCTTTTGCTGCAGCAGCAATCATTGATGCACAAGTTTGCATCTAATCTGGATTTTCCTATTAGAGTCCAAATTATATGCAAAAAGGCTGAAATGTGTGCATAGAGCCCCAAAAATACTTGGGTGAACATCTCCAAGAGGTTTTGCCTTCACTACTGATTTGTGGATTTTCTCTCATCCACACTTTATCAGAATTTTACATATGTGTTTGAAAATATACAGTGGGTACAGAAAGTATCCAAACCCCTTTGATTTTAGCAAATGGTAGCATGAAATAAAAAGTAAAAAATTTAAAGTCCATTTTATTTCTCAATGTACACTAGGTACCCCATCTTGACAAAAAAACAAAAACAAACATGTAGATTTTTTGGCAAATTTATTATAAAAAAATGTAAAACTGAAATCAACTTTTTTGATTTTAGCAAATGCTACAATGAGATGGAGTGAAAAATGTAAAGGGGTACTTTCTGTACCCTCTGTACAATCCCACAAACGACCCAGGAAACCAAGACTTGAACTAAGACTCAAGTCTATCATATACTAGGAAATGCTGGATGATTAGTCCGCATTGTGAACTCTTTGATATCAAAATGGTTTCAGAAGGAAACTTCTGCTGTATTTACACACTCAAATTAAATTTCCACTTGCTGTGATAGGCGAGCCAAATGGCCTCTGGAGAAAAGCTTAGATCAGAGGAGGCCTAGATTAAGCTTTTTTGATCAAAATGAAAAAAAAAATGTAGTCTGTGTTCAGAAAAAACAAGCAAAGCATGGTGATTGCTGTATTATGCTGAGGGTTGCTTACGTTGACAGGGATACTGATGAAATAATGATGGATTAACTCTTACTTCTTAAGCTTAACCTAACAGCTTCAATTTACCTCCTTATAGTTCCGGTATGTCAAGACCTTGTTAAATCCCATACAAAAGCACAATTCTTGTTAACCTGCTATATGGCCAAATAATTGAGTGTAAATATTCAAACCCATATGTAAAATTCTGACGTGTGGATGAGATAAAATCCACAAACTCTTCTTTTGACAAATGTTTTTTTTTTGTGCTCTACAATCTTTTCACTGCAGCTTAAATGAATGGTTCAAAAAAATAAGGAGCCTTAATTGGTACATCTCAGCTCTGTTGGTGTCATTAACTGCAAACTCGAGCTCCACGTTCAGTCAGCTAAACCTTCATTCTCGTGACATCACCTTCAGGTTTTTGTGGAACTGAACGAGCTGACGATAGACAAGAACCAGGAGATGCAGTGGAAAGAGACGGCTCGTTGGATCAAGTTTGAGGAGGACGTGGAGGAGGAGACAGACCGCTGGGGGAAGCCTCACGTTGCTTCCCTGTCTTTCCGCAGTTTGCTCGAGCTGAGACGGACCATCTCCCACGGTAAGAAGATTACTTTTTATGCTGCTGCATTACTTTATACTCGATAGGACTTCAACACTAAACTACAGAGTCCTGTATGCGTTTTTAAAGGCGCTGTGCTGCTAGACCTGGACCAGAAGACCCTACCAGGCATCGCCCACCAGGTGGTGGAGCAGATGATCATCTCTGATCAGATCAAAGCGGAGGACAGATCCAACGTCCTGAGAGCTCTGCTGCTTAAACACAGGTGGAAAGATGAAAGGAAGCTTTCTCTTGTGTTATCTAGGATTTCTGACAGTGCCCACATTGTTCCCAGAAAAGAAGCTCATTTCCAACAAATAGTGGAAACTAGAGTCCGCTGCTGTATATGCACATCTGTTGGCACATTCAAAAGCCTTTTAAAATTCAACTGTTAATTACTACCATATGTTTTTCTAGTTTAGAAAGAAACCACCTTTAATATGAGCACAATTTAGACAGTGGGGAATTTTCTTTTTTTTTTATATCTCTGATATTACAGCTGTATATTCCTCTGCTGTTGATAGTTGTACAACGTTATTTTATCTATAAAGCCAAAGAAAAACGTGCCCACAGCATGACAGATCCTCTACCTTACAGGCTTTTCTAGATTTTCATATTTTTTCGAAGACACTCCTGGAGCATTTGTTGCTGAAAGGTTATTGGTCAAAGCAACAGCACCTTGTAAAATCATAGTGGAGTTTTGCACTCTTATTTAAATTTGTGATTGAGAGAACTGTTTCCTGAAATCCCACCCAAACAGCTGGATGGCATGTGTGCAGTGTCCAGAGGTAATCATTGAGACTTTATGGCCACAACTATTCTGCCTCTTTGCAGAATAGTTTGTTGTATCAGTCACACGTTTTCAGATTTTATCGGTTCATGCTGTAATGCATAATCACCAGGTACCGAGAGCATTTAAAGATAAATAACCCCACAGCACCACTGATCCCTCACTATACTTTAGATCAGTGTTTTTCAACCCTGGTCCTCAAGGCACTCTGCCCTGCATGTTTTAGATGTTTCCCAGCTTTCACACACCTGTTATCAATTGATAGCAGATTATCAGGCTTTGCTGAACTGCAATCATCTGAATCAGGTGTGCTGAAGCTCAGAAACATCCAAAACATGCAGAGCAGTTTGCCTTGAGGACCAGGGTTGAAAAACCACTGTTAGAAAGCTAAGTGCTTGATGTTCATGACAGAGATGAATACCTTGGGTCTCATTCTTTGGTCAGTTTTTAAACAGTGAATTCTATGAATTATCTACCTTCCTTGCGTCATAAGGTCCTGCCCTCTGGGAAGTTTGCCTCCATCATGTCATATGGATGTTTCTAGAAATATAGCACGCTATCAATTACTTTTTAAAGTCAGTAATTATGTTGTTAAAATAAATTTTTGGGTTCTGTAATTTTCTATTTAAAGATGGTGATTTGAAAATCTCTCGAGTGTCAATTTGTATTGGCACTTGCTAGAGGGACAAATTTAAACATTTCATTTATTAGCAGGGGCTGCAATAATAATTCCAAGGGCGCTTCAGAGGCCCCCTATGGTTTAATGTCACAGCCATGAAACCCAGATACTTGCACAGAAAATCATTTTCATGTGTTTCAAGTTGATTTCCCTCTCTGCTGCACACTTCCTGCTATTAGATGGCTTCATGCTTGGTCTCTGCCTCTCTTCCTCCTGCTCAACCTCACTCTCCCTTTTCCTGCCCCCCAAAGTCACCCGAGCGACGAAAAGGAGCATGCTAGCCATTTCCCCAGAAACATCTCAGCAGCAAGCCTTGGCAGCCTTTTAGTACACCACTCCGCCAACCACAACCATCAGATGGAGCCGTCAGTGACCGACCCCCTCATGGGCACCGCCAACTCCACAGCGGACAACGACACTCGCATCGACATGGACAGAAGTGAATCACAGGTGGGTCTCTGCTCAAGGTTCTCTATAAAAGTTCTCTCTCGGGATTTTCTTTCCTCTTCATCTGTATTGCTGTGTTTACAGCTAAAGGAACCAACTCTGGGGCCTGGCATGCATCGATCCAAGTCCAAACATGAGCTGAAGTTGCTGGAGAAAATTCCAGAAAATGCTGAGGCCACAGTCGTCCTTGTAGGCAAGTTATTATTGTTAAAATACAAAAGATTTTACTCTATTTTTCTACTTTAATCACACGTAACATTTGTTCTGGTTTAACCTGAATCTTTATCTGGCTTTTTTTTATCCTCTGTCGTTTTTTTCCAGGTTGTGTCGATTTCCTGGAGCAGCCCACAATGGCCTTTGTGAGGCTCCAGGAGGCAGTGGAGCTGGAGTCTGTTCTGGAAGTACCTGTTCCCGTCCGCTTTCTCTTCGTCCTGCTTGGACCTCCAACCACCAGTATGGACTACCACCAGATTGGACGCTCAATCTCCACCCTAATGTCTGACAAGGTAAGCAGAAAATCCAAGTATAGAGTTGATGTTTTTCTTTTAATTGCTTAACTTATCCACATTTCCTTTTGTCATCAGCAATTTCATGAGGCAGCTTACCTGGCAGACGAAAGGCAGGACCTGCTGAATGCCATCAACAGTTTCTTGGACTGCAGTATTGTTCTGCCACCTTCAGAGATGGCAGACGACGAGCTGCTGCGCTCTGTTGCACGCTTTCAGAGGGAGATGCTCCGTAAGAGGGAAGAACAAGAACAAGTTAAACTAGCAAAAGAGCCAAAAAGCTTTGAGGATAAAGGTAAGCTTCTGTTTATTTGGGGGGGATTTAATCATATTGCTGGATAACAGCTTTGTTTTTTTTATCACCCAGAAGCCCTCCTCAAACCTTCGAAGAAATCAGACGATCCCTTAGAGCGCATGGGCCGCCCCTTTGGGGGGCTCATAAGAGACGTTCAGCGTCGATACCCGAAATACATCAGTGACTTTAAGGACGCCCTGAACAGCCAGTGTATGGCTGCAGTTATCTTCATCTACTTTGCTGCTCTCTCTCCAGCAATCACATTCGGAGGTCTGCTAGGTAAGGGTGGGTGGGATGTCTCCAACTTAACCAGTTTTATGCAGGATTACAAGTGTCCAACTTCAGTAAAGTATTGGTTCAGGGTTTTAGTGTAGTGCAGCTTTAGTGTACATTTACATTTTATTCATATGTAATTTTTTCTTTATTTCGAGGTGAACTGAACAGAATAAAGTCACATTAAGGTTGGAAAATCTTTAGCAGTGATTTTTCTCCTTCTCAGAACGATGATGTTTGACGCAGATATACCCTTTTTTATTTCTAATAATATCAATGTTTCTCAATTTAAAGTTCATTTATCTGTATCTGTTTTAAGGTGAAAAGACAGACGGGTTGATTGGTGTTTCTGAGCTAATCGTCTCGACTGCAGTCCAGGGGGTTCTGTTCTGCTTACTGGGAGCTCAGCCGTTGCTGGTGGTGGGCTTTTCTGGACCTCTTTTAGTCTTTGAAGAAGCCTTTTTTAGTGTAAGTTTATCATTTAAGCTAATATTTACAGCAGGATAACGGAAAATACATTTGAGGGAATGAATATTTTGCAACTTTTTTATTTTTTTAATTGATCTCTAGAACTTGCAATACATCTTATCAACAAATAAGTAACATATAAATAAACTGAACTTTTTTTTTTTTTTTACTTTTTTTATTTGTTGTTGCATCATGGCCACAACTTATTAGACTATTGGTTTGAAGAAAAAAAACTGACTAACAAAACAAGAAAAAACTGAATACAAAATTGAATACGTTTTTTTTAAGAGCCAAAATTGTTGTGGGAAAATGTTACCATAAACATGCATAGTCTGTTTTTTTATTTTTTAAGATATACATTTTACTGGACACACAGCTGTAAGCTACATGTGTGGCCACATTATGCTAATTTTGGCATTCTTATTTGTTTTGTTGGTGATGTTCCCTTTTGTATCTCTGCTTCTGTCTCCTTGAACCGGTCGGCCTCAGCAGATGGCCGCTCACACTGAGCCTGGTTCTGCAGGAGGTTTTTTCCTGTTAAAAGGAAGTTTTTCCTCTCCACTGTCGCTGCAAGGATGCTTAGTGTGAGGGATTGCTGAAGAGTCAATGAGTCGATGCCATCAACTGGTTTTCCTTAGATGGAAAAATTTGAATCAGACTGTATGATCTTGTTGAATTGTCTTGAGATGACATGTGTTGGGAATTGGCGCTATATAAATAACTGAATTGGAATTTAATTGAATTTAACCTCATGCAGTTCTAGTGGTTCAAGTGAATTTTCTTCAGATAAATTGTACAGAAAGTCTTGAAGAGCACATAAAGCAATTGACTTAGAGGTGTTCTCCATCCATGCATGCATGCTGTCAACATCAGAAAAAGGGGGCTTTGGTAACGGGTTAGGGTTGATAGTTATAGCGGCATGTGCGTTATGTGTTAGAACTGGTCTTACCATTTAAAATGTATACAACACTTTGCTCTATATCCCTAGTCGAAATGACCTGGGACTAGTTAGTATGGTGCCGTCTGTAGATTTCAGTAGTGCATATCACATCAGATGCAGCCGCCAGTTGATACTGAATTTTTTTTTTCTTGCATTTGCTCATCCATTCGCTGGTTTATTAGATCTGTGTGGCATTTATCATCGTATGAAAACAGAGGAATAAACAGTAATCTCTGTATCACAGATGTGGGACCCCAGAAAAATCAGAAACTCTTATCTAGCATTGATTAGACTGACATCCAATAATCTTCTTCGTGTCAGCCTTAAACAACCTTTATCAATCAATCAATCTCTGTTTACAAGGGAAAGTGACAAAAAGGGATTTGAAGATAAAACGTTTACCTTTAGATTCTGTTTGGGAGAAAAAAATGTTAGACATCTGAGTAGAAAGATGAGCTGTAAGATTGGGTTGGTTTTATTTTTTCATCTTGTTTGTACATTTATGGATCATAGACTTAAAGATGATCATTTTCTGGAGGGTTTCTGTAAGGCTGGCCAAAAGGAAGCAACTGAATGTAAAACTGAAGAATAGTGCACAGATTGAACCTTGAGGTATCCCATGAATGAACTGAGGAGATTATGTTTGCTGTTTAAAATTCAACAAAAGGTCATGTAAGATGTTTCGATAGTGACAGAGGCAGTGGAAGTTTATTCCTAAATTATAGTATCGGAGATGCTTTTTTCCTGAATATTTTTTTTTCTTTATGCAGCATTTATTTCCATTTACTGTGATGCCTTGTAAATGGTTCATTGTACCGTTCCTTTCCCCCACCACAGTTTTGCAAAGCCAACAGTATGGAGTACCTAACGGGCCGTGTCTGGATCGGCTTTTGGCTCATTATCATCGTCGTCATTACAGTGGCCTTTGAAGGCAGCTTCCTGGTGCGCTTCGTCTCCCGCTTCACCCAGGAAATCTTCTCCTTCCTCATCTCCCTCATCTTCATCTGCGAGACCTTCATCAAGCTAGGCAGGGTAAGCTTTAGATTTGAAATTACAAACGTTTTAGCATGCGGCAGGATTGCGTAACAGACGTTAAATCGAACTGACTAATCTTTGGACGGCACTCAAAACATGGGGTCAAAATGAGAATGTTTTTCTAACAAGAGCTTCTGAAATCTTTTATGACTGATTTACTTTGAAAGAAGAATAAGCTGAAGGTTACATTTTTAGAGGCTTGTGATGTAGGAAGATTTGATTATTTTTAGAGTTCTGTGGCTAACACATAGGTCCTGAAGCTTGATGTTTTCTGATGGATGTAACCACTTAATGTTTTGATAAAGGTTATGTTGCTTAAACCAGGATCTTTTATGTTCAGATATTCAAGGAGCACCCTCTGAAACGCTGCTCCATCAACACCACCTTAGATGGACAGATGTCTGCAGAAAACATCAGCACGATGCACAACAGCAGCACCAATGTCGTCACGGTCACTGGAGAGCCCAACACCGCTCTGCTCTCTCTGGTCCTCATGGCTGGCACGTTTTTCATCGCTTATTACCTGCGCAAGTTCAAGAACAGCGCCTTTTTCCCCGGCAGGGTGAGCATGTATGATTTTATGCAGTGAAAGTAATCGACCGGACAGGTGAAAGGGGGACAGTAAAATTAAGGTTTTTCCAAAATGTAAAGCTTTAAACCTCTAGAGATCATGGATACATTAAAAAGGCCCAACTAAAATTATTTTAGACCTTTAATTATTTTTTCTTGTCAAATATAATCTGAAAATAATTTTTTTTTTTTTTTTAAAGGAATAATTTCTTTCCTATTTTCCGTAATCCTCACAGGACCAGACTCTAAAAGGTCTAAATACATGATGAGCTCAGCTAACAGTCAGCTGAATGGTTCTTGGGTGGCTTCTCTTCTGACAGATATAAACCTGGTCCATACATTTGCAAGAAGGTTGAGTTCTGAACTATGTCATCAGTCTGCTTGATCCATTGCAACATCTTTTTACCAGTTGGACCATAATATGTTCACAAGCTTGCTGTTTGGAGTAAAAATAAAAAAAAAATGAGAGTTACAGGGCCTCTATATCCTCCAACCAGGCTGTGTCCGAACGTCTGCCCTAACCCCTGGATCACTATATAGAACGGGTCTATATAGTAGACTTTATAGTGAACTCCATTAACTGACCGTTTTCGACAGATGATCAGTTATTTTCCCTTCCTGTTGGTCACGTAACTCCGCTTCCCCACAGGGTACCTGCGCCATCTTTATTTGTCGCTGCTGTCACAGCAAATCCCATGATGCTTTGCAAGGAGAGCTATCCACGCAAAGCATTCCGGGATATATTTGCTTGCTTAGTGACAATGGATGATCACTACTTTTCAAGGTGCATTATGGGAAATTTCTGGTCCAATACTTTTTCATCCAGTAGACATTCGGACACTCATTTAAAATGGCCTAATCACTATATAGTGCCCTTTATAGTGATTAAGGCGGAGCCTCTGTGTGTTTAATGTACTTGCTAGCCCCTCACTGTGGTTGTGTGCATAAATATGGGATTTAATGAAAAATATAAATTCAATTTCAAGTTTAACAGCAAATGGATGAAAGAGTTCCTTTGGGTTTTTTAGTTGGTTGAACCGTGAGGAAGACGATGTAATTTGGTTAATATTTCTAACTCTTTTTTGTTTTCAACCAGCCTGAACTTTGTTTTCTAGTTTCGTAGGGTTATTGGAGACTTTGGTGTCCCCATTGCAATCCTCGTCACGGTTCTGGTGGACTACAGCATAGAGGACACATACACTCAGGTTGGTTTCAGAGGATCTGTTGTTGCCTGTTTATCTGAATAGCAGCCATGCTCAGAGCTGTCTTTGTTCCTATTCAGAAACTGAGCGTCCCCAAGGGTTTCTCTGTGACGAGTCCCGACAAACGAGGCTGGATCATCAATCCTTTGGGCTCGGACGGTGAATTTCCCATCTGGATGATGTTCGCCTGCTGCTTGCCTGCTCTGCTGGTGTTCATCCTCATCTTCATGGAGACTCAGATCACTACGTGAGTAACACTGCTGACAGATGTTTGTTTTGATCCTTGCTGGTAAATTATTAACTAAAACTGATCCTAAAGAGACCTGACGCTTAGGTAGTGCTGATAAAAACAACCAAAAAAAAAACAAGGACTTGCTGTACTCCTGAGTCAGAGGAGTCAATACATGGACATAACTACTCTTTTCTGTTTCCTTAAGCCCATGTCCTTGCCTTATCTTTCCTTCTTTTCTTGTCCTTGCCTATCTCTTTGTCCTGTTAATCCATTCTTTTTCTCTTTATGCATTTTCTTTTACCCTCAGCCATCCCTCTATCATTCCACCTATGTGTCCCATCTTTGATTCCTAATGGTTTTCTTCATATTTTCAAATGTTTTTATTTCTTTCCTTTCTCTTTCCATCCTCCATATTTAAATCTACCTGCCGCATAAATACTAGCTTTACATTAGTAGTAAATCTCTCTTCTTCATTACAAATATTAACTTGAAGGACCAAGAACTCTCAAAAGTGAACCTGTAAACGTGCAATTTTAACATATCCTGTTGGAACCCTTGGGTAACTGTTTTAAATCTTAGTGAAACATTGGAGTATTTTTTCTTGTTGTTTTTTGTTGTTGTTTTATCTAAACTGAAAGATCCTTCTTGATATTATACAAACATTTGTTTGTATAAAATGGCAGCCCTGATCTAAAAAGTCAAACAAGTAGAGGAGAAGTTAAATTTAGGAAAATTAAAACCTACCAATAATTACCAGCTGTATTTTTAGATAGATGCATTTTATTTCATTTAGTATTGTGCTGCCTAAAGTGTGTTAATCAAAGCAAATCGCTGCAGAAGATCCTTTCTGTCTACAGCTATCAACACCTACAACAACTTGTTGAAAAACTGCCCATGAGTTACTGAAACATATTATTTCCCTTTTGGATTAACTAAGTATTTATGAATTTGAACCAAGTATTAGCTCAAAGGTATTGTGAATTTTTGAAAAATCCCACCCTCTCCACTTTAAAAAAAAAAAAAATAAAAAAAGAAGCACAACCCTGTTGTGCTTTTTACCATAAATAATAAATTATGAACAGTTCAGTTTGTGCCTTCAAGTAATTTGCCCATAGGAAGACGTTACCTGGATATAATGAAATATCTTAAGAACGGCTCCAAATGACACAAAAATAATATGGGTGAGTAGAACATGATGTAATAACGTAAAATCAAGGGCCCAATATAAAAGAAACGGCATTCCCCTTTAAGGGCCCAGTGTAAAAAAAAAAACAGCGTTTCCTTTTAAGGAAATTACATAGAAAAGTACGTCTGCATCAGTAATAAGTCAAAGTAAGGAAAAATCAAGCTGTGCTATTTTCCCTCCTGCAGGCTTATTGTCAGCAAGAAGGAGCGGATGTTGGTGAAGGGTTCTGGTTTCCACCTGGACCTCCTGCTGATCGTGGTTCTCGGCGGCTGCTCAGCTCTGTTCGGGCTCCCATGGATGGCTGCCGCCACCGTTCGCTCAGTGACCCATGTCAACGCCCTCACTGTGATGAGCAAAGCTGTCGCCCCTGGAGACAAGCCCCGCATCCAGGAGGTGAAGGAGCAGAGGGTCACCGGGCTCCTAGTTGCTGTCCTGGTTGGTAAGTGTCACCTACTGGGATGTATGTAGGCCCATTAAAGCCCTTTGTGTGTCTTTTGCTGATATTTATTCTAGTTTTTCTGTGTTTCTAGGTTTGTCCATTGTGATTGGGGAGCTGCTGCGTCAAATCCCCCTGGCCGTGTTGTTTGGCATCTTCCTCTACATGGGAGTAATGTCACTTAACGGCATCCAGCTAACAGAGCGAATGATGCTGCTCCTCATGCCCCCAAAGTATCACCCTGACCACACTTACGTACGCAAGGTAAGAGGAGTGGAGGACTGAGAATTGCTACTGTTCAGAGGTGTGAGTTTACATGTCTGATGGCTTGATATGTGTCCCTCAGGTTCGTACATGGCGCATGCATCTGTTCACCTGCATCCAGATGGTCTGTCTAGTTGTCCTCTGGTCCGTTATGTCCACCCAGGCGTCTCTGGCTTTCCCATTCGTCCTCATCCTCACAGTCCCTGTCAAAATGTTCGTGCTGCCTCGCGTCTTCAATGAAAGAGAGATGGCTTGTGTAAGTTACCCACTGGGGGAGCTGTGAGTTGTTCAGCCACCTGTACCGCTGCATAATGCAGACCCTGTGCTTGGCCATCTCAGTGAGAGTGTGTTTGTTATCAGCTTTATAGATGGTGTTTTTAATAGGAAAAACTCTATGGTATTTGTTGTAAATTCTATGTTCTTTTATGAATATTTATTGTAATCCTCTTAAAATAAGGATCTGAGAAAATCTGAGATCTGAGCAGATTTCCAGAGCTTAACAAATACGTAACAGTTATTTTTTATTTATAATGCCCTCAGCTGCTGAAACAAATCAAGCCACAAAATGTTTAAAATGAAAAATGGTTGCATCAAACATTAAGACCCAGGAGGTAAAAGCTCAGATTTACTTTAACTTGGGCTGCATTCAGGCAGAATGTCAAAAAGGCGCCCCATTGGCTCAACTAGGACTGAAGTCAAGGTACTTTAATAGAAAAATACCAAGATATATATGCAAACAAATAGGTAGAAGTTTTTAGTGCAAGATTAAAAAGCTGCAATTAGATATAAAGTTTTTTTTTTACATGGTATTTATATATTTCTGCTTAAAATAAACGTACCATATTTCTTACTGTAAAATCTGTCTTCCCCTTTCTCTCTTTTCTCAGCTGGATGGCGACGATGCGGAACCAAAGTTTGACGAGCGTGACTGTCACGATGAGTACTCTGAGATGCACATGCCCGTGTAGCTATGCTGCCATGCCTCCCATCATCACTGAACTCCACTCAGAACCAGCGGACTCTGGGTCAGAATCTGCAAAGTAAACATCGCTGGGCAACAATATCGTTGCTTGCGCCTTTTTTAATATATTGTGTGCTGGATAGCGTCAGATTTCTGTAGCGCTACAAAACAGTGAAAGAGTGACAAAGTGAAGAGATTTAGCTTTTTTCATTACATTTTGTTTTATTTATTTCAGGGGACAGAAGATTTCTAATTAAATAAAGTGATTACAAGCTAAGAATGTTGACATAGCAGTAGATGTATGCGCAAAAATTATTACCTTTTAGCCCTGAAAGGTTGCTATGATTCACATTGAATATGTGGAAAATATCTAGGATACATTCCTTTATATTAACATGTTGTTAGTTTTTCACATGTTTTTCTTTCTTTCAAATCCACTAAGCGCCTTATGAAGGAAACGATATACTGAGCTGTTTTTTCCTCCTCATTCTGTCTTATTGTAGACAGTCAATCACTTTAAACATGAAGGTTGTAGCACTTTTTATAAGAAACCAAATCTTAACTGTTTGACTATTTTATTTTAGTGTTCTTGAAAACCTCTGGAATAATATCGCTTTAGGTGAGGAATTTTACTTCATTTTTTAATTTATGAGTTATTTTAAAACGGATGCTGCAGTTTAAATCATCTGATTCAGTGCGTGCAGTGACGCAAGATCACCAGCAGAGGGGGATCTTGGGTTATTCACCAAAAAAAAGCAGTTTTATTGTTGTATGAATGCCACATGTTCTTGTTTCTCATCATGCAGAGTTAATTTTTGTTATTTAAATGGCACGGAGGTTTCACAAACACACTCTAATCATCTCAATGCACATGTACAGGACACTAATGTTCGAATATTTTCTGTTTTACACTCGGTGAGTTGGTTTCTGGGAAAATGCTGTTAATTTATTACTACTTGTCCAAGTGCCAAATATCTACTGTGTGTGTAGCGGTCAGAAGAATAAGCTGTAGCAGGTTGGTCGTCTTCTGATTGTCAACGCTTTTACCCATTTTAACTCTAAAACATTCCAGATTTTAACTTTGATTTATTTATGGTTTTATCATTTCAGTTTCAGCCATATTTCCATGTAGACGGTGCAGAAAATGCCAATGAACGAACTCTGTGATGAAAGGCTTTAAAACGATGTACTTTTTAAAACGGTTTCCATCATGCTGCGTCAGTGTAACCTGGATGGGTTAAAGTTTTGACAGAGGCAAATATTTTAACCCTTCCTGACTTCTGTTACAGCCACACATGCATGTCAGACACTACGGCAGGGGGTGGGGCGAGTATGCGTTTTTAAAATGGGAAATGTTACAGTGTTCTGCACTTTGAAATCAGACATCTGAATTATGCATATGTGGCATCACTGCTATGTGGTTAAAGAGTACTACAGAGGTTTTTATCTGCTTTTAAAGTATGCAAACACTCAGCTGCGCTTTATCCATAATTAATTAGATGTGGCAGATTTTGTGCAGTGTTTCAAATCAGTGTGCCTTTCTAGCTCTGAATTTTGTGATCAAGTCTTTTGAGATGTTTAGATTTGTTGTATTGCAATGTCAAATCAGTGAGGCTGTTGCTGATCTGTGAATCCATGGTTAAGATACTGATGACAAATAAAAAGTATTTTCTATTTATCTGGTCTGTTTTGTTTTTTTTTGTTTGAGAAATTACTTTTCAGCTTTTCTGTGCACAAATTGCCTGTAATAAAGTGAAAATATGGTATAAATATATTAAAATCTAATTCAAACCAGTAGTGTAATTACACCCACCAGTTTTGACTGTGTGTCAATACAATCTGTTTTTTTTTTTTCTCTCCTATTTTTTCCTGAAGATCTTGCATTGTCAGGTCAATCCCACAGCTTGGATAGACTGATGTTTGTAGAGTCACTCCAACAGTGTTAAAAACAATATGTAAGTGTTCTTGAAAAAAATCTCTAATTGGTGCAGGTTGTCTTTCATGTATGCTTTAAGGACCTCACAGCATGATGCTACTGCCATCATGCCTTAAATGAGGAATGGGGTGAAAGGCATGATAATCAGATTTCAGGCCTAAAAGCTGATGCTTAATCAGAACAGAAAATGATGATCCAAGATGTTTAAGCAAAGTTAAAATTGTCAGACATGCTTTTCAGTGAAGGGTGTTTCCATCACCTTATTCTACCAGGAGTGTGTCACAGGAGAAAGTTTGCAATAATTAAGTTCATGAGGAAGAGTATATTCCAAGGTGCTGTAACAAAGGATTTCCTGCCCTGTATTTGGAAATGTAATTCATCGTTTTTATGTATTTTTATACATTTGCATGTACAGGGAAGATAATTATTTGAACACCCTACTATTTTGCAAGTACTTCCACCTAGAAATCATGGAGGGTCTGAAAGTTTCGTTGTAGGTGCATTTCCACTTTGAGAAACATAATAAAGAAAATAAAAATGTTTCATTTTCTTAACTATTTGTACGATACAGCTGCAAATAGGCATGTGAAGACCTGAGAAAATCTATCTTAACCCTTTGTAGGGCACTCTGTGAAATACTTTGAAAATCCAAATATCAAGTCAATAGTGTTATTGAAATCCAGGATAAGACCCTATTACCACTTGTACCATTCAAAAATATGGATATTTGGATGGGAAAAAATGTCAGTGTAACAACGAGAAATGCCAACTTGCAGGAATAAATATAAGAAAAATAACAAAAGTGCTTATATAAGAAATTCATGAAAAACTGCGAAAGAAACATTTTTTTGTACAACATAACCTTAAAGGCATTAATGCTGATACTGGCACATACATTTTTTAGTTCATAAACCTTAATACAATTGGTAACTAGGCTTATTAACTTTAGCTTTTCAATCAGCTTTTTACATTTTTCGTAACTTTTTCAGCTTAATTTACAGTAGGTAATATATAATTCACGGGTTCATCTAATTGGTCAAATGCCAAAATAAGATGTACAGCCATGTAGCAGTATCTTTACTGAATGGCTGATATAGATCTTGTGTTTCTAGACCTCACTGAGGGATGGGGGTGTATGTCATCATGTTAAGATTGGACTCGCTTGATGAGATGGAGTCTGGTGTGCGATTGCTTGGTTGGAAAGAAAACCTGCAGCCACACGGCCCTTTCTGGAACCAGTTTGACACCCCTGCTCTAAGGGAAGGAGGTTGTTCCCCAAAATCTCACAATACATGGTCCCAGTCATCCTCTCTTTAATACAGTGCAGTCGCCCTGTCCCATATGCAGAACAACACCTCATGCTTCACAGTAGGGATGGTGTTCTTGGGATGGTACTCCTCATTCTTCTTCCTCCAAACACTGTTAGTGGAATTATGAACTAAAAGTTTTAATTTGATCTCATCTGGCCACATAACTTTCTCCCATGACTCCTCTGGATCTTCCAAATGGTCACTGACAAACTTAAGGTGGGCCTTGAGATGTGCTGGTTTAAGCATGGGAACGTTCTGTGCCATACATGATGGCGTCTTGTGTATTACCGATAGTAATGGAAAACGTTTGTCCCAGCTTGTTGCAGGTCATTGGCCAGCTCCTCTCGTGTAGTTCTGGACCGATTTCTCACCTTTCTTAGGATCATTGAGACCCCACGAGGTGAGATCTTGCATGAATCCCCAGTCCGACTGAGATTGACAGTGATGTTTAGCTTCTTCCATTTTCTAATGATTGCTCCAACAGAGGACCTTTTTCCACCAAGCTGCTTGGTGATTTCCCCCGTAGCCCTTTCCAGCCTTGTGGAGGATGTACAATTTTGTCTGTAGTGTCTTTAGACAGCTCTTTGGTCTTGGCCATGTTAGTAGCTGGATTCTTACTGATTATATTGGGTAAACAGGTGTCTTTATGCAGCTAACAATCCCAAACAGGTGCATCTAATTTAAGATATTATATATATATATATATAGAGAGAGAGAGAGAATGTGTGTATATATATATATATATATATATATATATACACACACACACACACACAATATCACCATTTCCCTCAAATATTTTTCACAAACCAGTTTAAATCTGTGATAGTGAGCACTTCTCCGTTGCTGAGCTAGTCCATCCCACCTCACAGATGTGCCATATCAATAGTGTGTCAGACTGCCCACAATAAAAGGCCACTCTGATTGTTGCAGTTTTATCAAAGAGCAGAATACCACAGATGTCTCCAGATTTGAGATTTGATTGATCAGGTTGTCTATGGTGACCTGTGGAATGTTGGTCCACTCCTCTTCAATGGCCATGCAAAGTCTCTGGATGTAGCAGTAGCTGGTCATATATGCCAATCCAGAGCATTCCAAACATGCTCAATGGATGATATGTCTGGTGAGTAATGCAAGAACTGGGACATTTTCAGCTTCCAAGAATTGTACCAAGAATTGTGCCCTTGCAACATGGGGCCATGAATAATCCTGTTGCAACATGAGGTGGTGATGTTGGATGTATGGCGCAACAATGGGCCTTGGGATCTTGTCAGGGTATTTCTGTGCATTCAAAATTCCATCAATAAAATGCACCTGTGTTCTTCGTCCGTAACAGACGCCTGCCCATACCATAACCATGGCGCCATCATTAGCCACTGGATCAACAACACTGACATCAGAAAACCGCTCATCCACACAACGGCACACACGCTGTCTGACATCTGCCTCTCACCTAAACAGTGTAAACTTGGAATCATCTGTGAAGAGAACGACTCTCCAACGTGCTAGATGCCAACTAATGTGAGCATTTGCCCACTCATGTCGGTTACAACAACGAACTGGAGTCAGGTGTAGACCTCCATGAGTGCAACGAGCATGAATGGATTGTCACAACAAAGGAGAAGTGCTTCCTATCACAGATTTAGACTAGTTTGTAAACAATATTTGAGAGAAATGGTGGTATTGTTGATGGGGAAAAAGTGTAAGACCTTGGACTTCATCTAATAAACAATGAGAGCAAAACCAAGTGTTGCCTTTACATTTTTGTTAAAATATGTGTATATATATAATCTTTTTTTAAACAACCGATAAAAAAAAGAATGTCTTGGTGTGTTGGCTCCGCTCCACAAGTGACTTGCTGTGGGTTTAAGCAGGAAATCACCAAATATAATATTTATTTGTTCACTTAATGAAAAGTTTCAGTACATATATTTAGCATTCTGTGATTATTATTCATTAATTACTATGATTTTTCTTCTTTTTTTTTTTGCCTTTGTGCACAAGTAAAACTTTTGGTTCTTACCTTAAATCACTTAAAATAACTTCCACTAGAAATGAAGAAAAATCTGTAAAAATAAATCAGAGCTATTAGTAACTTTTTAAAAATTGGTGTGATTTTTCACAACAGAACAACCTTTAAATAAGGGCGTGTATGGACCGTAGCAACAAAGGATGGTTGCGATACAGGATTTTTGTCAAATCAGAATCAATCTAGTGATGACACTCACACCACACATGCTCAGTTGGATGCAACCCTTGAAGAGAAAAAGCAAGAAGATTCAAGAGCTCCAGGATTTATTAGAGGAAAAATAATGTGATTGAGGTATGGAAGTCTTTTTTGTTTGTTTCTTTTGCTAGAGCTTTTTTTGCTTTGTTTTACTACTGTCACTGTTTTTTTATTATCTAGGTTTGATACCTATATGGTTTAAATAATTTTACTTTTACCTAATGCAATTAGCATGTATCAAGATCACCTAGATAAATAGGGCATGAGGTTTTATCACAGCTGACAGGAAGGCGGGCTGTGGTAACAGCTGTCCCCGTGAGTATAAAATAGACCGTCTCATAGTATTCTTAACATCTTTTTAATAATTTTTAGTTCTATATAATGCTGCTAATCATGAGCAGAGTTATATGTGCACGTGTTCATGTTTGCATTTTTACAATCGTGTTTGTTAGAGCAGTGTTTTTCAACCTTTTTTGAGCTGTAGCACAATTTTTACTTTTAACAAAATACTTGGGCACACCACCAACCAAAGTGATGCTCTAACATAGTGCATATTACAAATATAGTTAATAATATAGTTTCTAATATATTTATACTCCCTGTGAACCCTTCACAGTAAATGTTGCAGTGTTAAAGATTTACTTTAACACTGCAACATTTACTGTGTGGGCCTGTTTCCCATTCCCATTACATAGATTAAAGGCATGTGTGTAATCATGCCTGTAATAGGGAACAAAGTCAAAATAGCTTTGTTAGGCAGAGTTAGGAACTCCTTGGCAACAGATAACTGAAACCTGTCCTAAGGAAGATCAGCAAAGTTTATCTTTAAACCACGATCTTGTTTCAGTTCAGTGAGTTTCTTGCTCCTTTAAAGTTATTTTCTTTCCAACAACAGATTCTGAGCCATATGGTTCCCTAACCCAGTCACGGGATTATGCGAAAGCTGAAGGGAAATAAAATGACAACCTCTCAAGAGTTTTCAAATGTGTGCCAGTCACCTTGCACATTGCAGCAGTGTTGCTATCTTGCAAATTTTGGTGAACACGCTGCACCTTTAAACGGAACCCGTTCTTTTTATCAGCGCTTGTAAGCAGGTTTTCATTTCGGCCTTGCATCTGTGTGTTCAGGTCATTCAGATAATTAAATATATCAACCAGGTATGCCATCTTTGCACACCACTCATCACTTGCAAGC